AAGAATTTTTTTTTTTTTCTAAAATTTCTGGTTGTATTACTTTAAGGGACGATTACATAGCTGAGAATAAAACAGTAGCAAGAAGCCTTCGGGCATTAATCCCATTGAATAAGTTACACAAGGAAAAGAAAAAAGAAGAAAAAAGGAGGTCAAGTACCTCGAAACCACAAAGCGAGTGAGTCGTGGAAGCTTGGCCGGTCTTTCCTAGCTAAGCAAGTGTCACGGATCCTCCTATCAATAGCCTTGAAAAGCACCTCCGCTGGAACTGATTTGTTGTTGAAGATGCGGTCGTTACGTTGGCGCCACAAAGAGTAGATTATCGCTTGAGCCATGAGCAACCTCAAGTGTTCTCAGAAGGCGTCGGGTAAGAGCACTTTAACCATCTTTGAAAAACAGTCCAAGTGCCAAACCCCAAAAACTGAGCATTGAGTCTCCGAAATCCCAATCTCCACACATCATAACTATATGGGCACCTCAGCAGCAGATGATCCCTAGTTTCATCATAAATCTCGCACAGCACACAGGCAGACCCGTGCCTATGAACAAATAATACAAACATTCGCCTACGGGCCAAAATTTAAAAAATTAATTTAAACTAATTGTTAACATTATTAATTATTTAAATAAAGATTTAGTTTGAAAATAAAATATTTTCTTGGTAAAATTAGCAACTAAGTTAATAACACAATACAATATTAGGCAACATACATAGCCACCTAAATAATTAAACAAATTAAAATTAAAAATACCATTTCAATTTCTTATTTCTTTGTTAAAGTTTTGGAAACTTCTTACTCTCCTTTTATTCTTTCTGAACAACCATATAATCAAAAGCTATTTGTCAATTGTTAAATTTTTTTAATTATAATTTTGTTTCATTTAATATTAGATTTAGTTTGATTTGTAATTTGTTATTCTAATTTATATTTATTTTGTTTACGATAATGATTGTTATTACTGGTTTATATGAATTTGAAATGATAATATTTTTTTTTTTTAATATAAATTGGATTGATTTTATATGAATATGAGATGAAGATGAATAACTAGAGCTTTTAACATAAAAATGGAGTTAACAAGGATTTTTTTTTAAAATCCGCTTACGGGCTCTGTATCTTTGGGCACGGCTCTGCACACAGGTTCTATTTTCAATTACACCCCAAGACGCAAGACGTGCTTTTGTGGACACAAGTTTTTGAAGAATTGATCTGGACCAACAAAAAATTGAAGAGAAAATCTGAAGGTGATTAAGAAAAACATTTGGATATTGTTGTATTATGTTATTGCATATTTACAGGTTTGTTTGATTGCTTACCGGTTATTATCACCTAGGCGGTATATTAAGTTTTAGTTAAGCTTTTGAGGTATATGTTGTCTTTTCATGCAGAATTTGTTATTCATGCAATCCTGCTTATCATGAAATTTGTTTCTCTCTCTTTGCTCGATGTTGTTATACTTGTACAGCTTTGGCAACTTTAACTCTTCCTTGTTCTCATCTCTCTCTCTCAATTGAGTCCTTATTTTTGATGATATGTTAGTCCACACTTGAGAATTGGCACACTGCAAAGTTTATTTCTGTGTGACATGTTGGTCATTGATTCTTAGTAATGTATATATTGCCTATGTTTTTCTGCTGTAATTAAAGTTCAGGTTCTAACTATGACAAAAAGGAACTTCACGTTCTAACTAGAACAAATAGGAACTCATACTGTACCTATCTATTATAAATTTATAACAAGATAGCTAAAATTTTCAAAAATATCTCGAGATCTGTTGAACTAGCTCTTATAGAATTCAATTCATTTAGTGATGCAATAAGGCTCGCAACACGTTTAATCTTCCAATGTTGTAGCTAGTAAATATTCTCCATAGTAACTTTGTAATGTCTTTACAATGATAAATGAAATAAGAAGTTAAAAACAAAAACAAAACAAAAAACGTGGAAAATAAAGTTTTGAGCTTCAAGGATACAAATTCGCTCGAAAAGCTTGAAATATTTATCTTGTTGGAGTAATTTTCTATTCGTGGCGTTATTAAAACTGTCATATTGTCTTCGCGTTGGTACTTGACTCAATGACTCTATCATATTCGTCTTAGAAATGTTACAGCTAAAGCTAGTTCGTGTGTATACAGAAGTGAGAAAGAAGAGTTCTGGCGTATACAAATGTTGGCTTATGCACAAAACTGATGGAAATAAAGGAAAAAGATGAAGTTCTGAGACGAGTGAGAGGCCTACGGTCTAGAACAACCAATGTTTTCTCTTTGGCTTCTGCTGAACTGGAGCAGCTGCACTTATGTTCTTCACAAGATAGTTCAGCGCATGCTTCCTGGACAGAAGACCAGATTCTAAAATCAGCTAGCTCCATAGGCTTCTCAAAATTTTCGTCTGCTGCAGGAACATCAAATATCACGTCTATAGCCTTCATCTTAATGATCGCTTTAACTGCAAAAAGAGTTTTGCAAAAAGTCTTTTCGATCTCATGTTCCACATGCACTGCAGCAGACCTGAGTTCTTGTCCCAGTGAACGACCCGCAGAGCTAGAACCGCTCATACTACGGGATACCCCAGAAACTAAGCTTAGAAGCATCTGGTACAGAATAACAAAACTTATTTGAATGCTTTTTATATAGCCTAAAAGGTGAATTACGATCTCGATGCCATTCAGGTGTTATGCTTGGAATCTTATATCGTAGAAGCTTAAAGACAGATTCATTTAGATTGATTATAAGAATTTGAGCATCATGTCCAATGCTAAGGAAACTTAGAAGGATAGTTTCTGACACCGCCAAAAATTACAAAGAAAAGGTTCATCTTGTCTTAAATCATATATATAAATCCTTTAGGCATCTTGATAATATCTGTTAGCAACAACTCTAAATCCAGAAATTAATCACTTGGGTTCGAAGAGTAATTACGATAGAGTTTTTTTTTTATCAAGTGGTCTACTGACAAAGATTTAACTCCATGAGACTATATAAGCAAGGACAACAGGCACACCTTTTTTCAAAGGGAATATGATAATCATGCTTCGGAGCATCTGATCCTTAGATGAACTTACCACAACAAATATAAATTCATGCGGTAGGAAACTAATTTTCCAAATACTATGCAGATTTAAAGACATGCAAAGTAAAAACTGCCAAGAAAGCCTCTCTTACCTGAAAATAAGCATTTAGGTCACCCGGTTTTAATACAACAGTCAGTCCCAGCACCAACACATCCAAACCAGTTGAGAAATTGATAATAGCTTCCTGAAGGAATAAACATGATCTCTGCAATAGATTGCAGTTCTCTCAGATTCAGATGGAATTCCAAAAATGTAATTGATGGCTGCTTCCAATCACAATACTTAGTATATTGAAAAGGATTCTCAGCAGTAAAGTAGAAAATATCAAATAAAACGAAAACAGATATATACAAAAACCTATGGAAAGAGGAAACGGATAATTATTAAAGCAAGATTATCCTCTTTTCTTTGATGTAGCGTCACTGACGTTTGGAAATATCTTATGGACATACACTAACTAGTTCAACGAAGCACCTAAGATTAGTCTTATAACTTGGGAAGGAATGCAGCTACGTATCAAACTTCAGAGATAAATGATGTGACCAAACCATTCTCAAATGACATGACAACCAAAACATGTATCAAGCAGGGAGAAAAAGACAATGTTAAGCTTAGTCTAACACATATGTAGCAATAAAAGGCAAAACACCAATGATTAAAAGGGATTAATTTGATATAAGAAGAAATCCCACACCGGTCACCAGATGCAGGTCAAGTTTGTATTGAGACCCGTAACCAATGATTAAAAGGTATTAATTTGATTAAGGATGAAAAGCAGATAGTTACGGGTCTCAATACAAAAACTTGACTCCATTTCTTTTCTGCCATTTTGCAGAAAGAACAATCAAAACCAGAAAACCCTAGGTGTGAGGACAGAGAATTCAATCCTTGAGAAACATATTTTTCATAACTTGGAATCACAGTATCACTTAGCCCCAGCTCCTGACGCAAAGGCCTATCTGATCTTGCGTTGTCAGGCCCTTGAAACATCACCACGTCAGATTTTGAAGCGGGCCAAACGACAAACTCAAAATCATGGAAATCAAATCCAAGAAGATCTTTCTGCCCAATTAAAGCATCCACTTCTTCAGACTTCTCCACGAACAGTTTGACCTGGGGGCCACCAACAAGTATGCCAACCTGAATCTGTCTCTCTGGATGAACACTTACTAAACACAATTCAATAATGCGTCTGTAGATCCCATATTCGTCATAACCAGCCATTTCAGAATCAACTCCACCTGTTACCAAAGAACTTGAATGACCAAGCAGCTGCGGAACTACCCGGAGACTGGGTTTCATCTGGAAAAAGCACCCAGTGGCTCTGGTATTCTGTTTATGCCAGGTAGATACTGACAAACTGTATTTTTCTCATTAGTAAAATGCATAGACTCTAAGGGAGAAAAATATGAAACACAAGATTTGGTGAATGCAGCAAGCAAGTTAGCTGGCGAACAAGATATCTGGTGGTGTCGGACTGGACAAGGAGGTACATATTCGGGAGGGATTCAAGCCGAATCTGAAGCCAATACTGCATTTTGTAATGTGTTCGTGAGATTGTTGTCTTCAGGGGAAACCAAGATTCAGAGTTGATTAAACCAATAAGAGAACTGATTAAGGGTGAGACGATTTCATGTAACACAACCGCAAAAGAATCAAGAAAGTAGAATAGATTCTTCAGCAATGATGAGCAAATTGTTCCATTACAGAGAAAATAGAGAAGAAGAAGATAAAAGTTTCACAACAATTTTTCTGGTTAATCTTTTACAATTCCTCTTCACTCTTTTTTATAGCTTCATGGTTTCATTCTTCTCCTCTCATCTCAACCGTCCATCTTCTTTTAATCTGAACCATCCATGTGTACTCTTCTCTCCATTCTAAAAAATTCCTGTATCATTCCAATCGAATAAGATGGGGGTAACGTAGCACGTATCCAAATTTAAAAATCCAAAGAATTGTAAATATATTTGATCGATTGATTATGGCCACTAAAATGTTCTCTGCATCTCCGGTAATCTCCGCCTCCGCCGCCACCAAAGCGCCGCTCCTCCCCAAGGCCGTACCATCGCGTCTAGGCGCCTCCTTGGCAGCCGCAGGCGCCTCTCTTAGCTTATTTCATCTCAATCTTAGGCACAGGCTCTCTCTCTCCATCACCTCCTTTTCCTCCCAGATTACATCTCCTCTCTGTAACTCTATCTCAGACAAGGGAAGCCCCCTGCCCCGTGGGGCGGGCGAAGGAGTCAAGGAAGATGCGAGGAGTAAGCTGCTTCAAGTAGTCTTGGTCTCTCCTCAGGTTTGCACTCGCACTCTTGACTCTCATACCCAATTTGAATAAATGTTACTTGCCCTTGGTTTGGTTTGGGTGTGGGTCTATCTTTTAGTTTGGTACACTTTGTGTCTTTCTTATAGACATAATTTCAGGCTTTTTTCAGACCAGGAACCCTCTAAACTTGTACTCTCCTTGACAGATTCCTGGAAACACAGGTTGCATTGCAAGAACATGCGCGGCTTCAGCTATTGGGCTGCATTTAGTCGGGGTACTGTACATTCACTATCCCCTTTGGAATTGGATCAACCAAACTCAACTAAATCATTGTTTCCAGTGTCCATGAATCTCATAAAATTGATTTGATTTAATTTTCATGTGCTCCTGTTTCAGCCATTAGGTTTTCAAGTCGATGATGCCAGAGTAAAGCGAGCTGGTTTGGATTATTGGCCGTATCCCACCTAATTTGATAAGAATTTTTTTCTACTTTTTTGGTGTGTGTGTGTTGTTGCTTTCTTTTTCAACAGTCCCTTGCATGCCCTTTCATTACCTCTTCTTCTTCTTAACTTAAAGCATAGCTATGTGGTTGTCAAAGCGCATAGCTCATGGGCTGAGTTTCGAGAATATTTCAGGCAACAGGTTTGCCATGTCTCCAATTTGTAATTCTCAATAGCTCAATTCCGTAGATATGATGGTGTCTGACTTGACATATATGTTTATATGTTTTCCTAGGAGGGAGAAAAACGGATGATAGCTTTCACAAAAAGAGGAACAAAGATACATTCAGTAAGTTCCATTCATCTGCGTTTGTTTACCAACCAGAAACAGCAACAATTGTTAGCAATTGGGTAGCTGAATGAACTTGGTTACAAAGTTGAAATGATAGATTCCTGTCGAAATGAGTTCATTGCAATATCGGAACAACATCAAGAGAACGTATTGTCCTCATCTGTCGCAACTTGATGCAGGAAATCTCTTACCGAAAAGGCGATTACCTACTGTTCGGGTCAGAGACAAGCGGTCTACCCCCTGAAGCGCTGTCAGACTGCAAAAACGAATCATATGGAGGGGGGACCGTACGTATTCCAATGGTGGAAACATATGTGAGATGTCTGAATCTGTCGGTGAGTGTAGGGATTGCTTTGTATGAAGCGTCCAGACAACTTAACTATAAGCAAATTGAGTGTGCACCTGAAGGCTGTGTGAATGGTGGTGACGAACCATTGTTCGCAGATGATATCTTTGCGTGATATATTGGACAGTTGCAAAAGAAACATGGGGACGCAGAGGCATAGCCATAGGTGGTTGAAAAAGCATTGACACGCAGGCAATGTCACCAATGTTTTCTTGGAAACATGATCTTGAAGAAATGACTGCGTCGCCTTATCTTCGTCATCTTTTAGCTACTTACCGTTTTTTTGACCAAATCCCAAGTGTGGGGGACAAGGACAACAAACTTGTTGAGTCTCTAGATTCTAGAATTCGAACGTTTTCTATTGAGAAATCCTGGCACGCGAAATTAAAAAGCTAACGATGGAGTGCAGATGATCGTTGTGAACCAAACTATAAATATGAATGAAATTGTCAGCTGCATAACAATATAGTTCTAGTGGGTCAAGGATAGCAAAAGAAGCTAAAGGATTTTATAACCTCCGTATGCTCATGGGCGGCTGCTTGAAGGAAGTCGTAATATTTGTTAGAAATGCAAAATGAGTACAAATGATCACTCTTATCCAAAATCCAGCTTTCGGATGTACCACAAGCAACTTGTGGTTCTTGGGGGGTAATTGCTGGTGGTCCTTCTCGTGCTTGCTCATCCCTACAAGGCTCTTCTTTCTTGTCCTGAAATCTAGAGGTTGTGGCAGTGATACATAGAGCCGTATCCTAAGAACTGAAACTGCTTGCAATATCTTAGTCTTGTTCTTCCAACGATGCCACACATGACAAGCTTGTATAACAAGCCTCAACATCTGCTTCGTATACTTGCAACCATAGATTTCTAGCCCACATATCCATTCTTCTAGATCAGATTTTCTTTTACAATTCTGAGAAGATGTTAATGGTGGAGAAAACCTCATGAGACAGCTTAAGTTTGTCCCATAGAATCTTCGTGCTATCTTCATAGTCATATCGGGACTTTGAACTGGATTTAGATGGTGATAGATGATGATGTTGATGATGATACAGAGAAAGAGAGATTGAAGAAGATAATGTTTGTTCCATTAATTTCCCAAAGAAGGGCTACGAGCCTTACATATAGTGACAGACAAAGGAAAGATAATTAAACCGGACAATAGACCAAAAGCTAAACCAGAGTTGATTAAACCAATAAGAGAACTGATTAAGGGTGAGAGGATTTCCTGTAACACAACCGCAAAAGAATCAAGAAAGTAGAATAGATTCTTCAGCAATGATGAGCAAATTGTTCCATTACAGAGAAAATAGAGAAGAAGAAGATAAAAGTTTCACAACAATATTTCTGGTTATCTGTTACAATTCCTCTTCACTCTTCTTTATATCTTCACGGTTTCATTCTTCTCCTCTCATCTCCACCGTCCATCTTCTTTTAATCTGAACCATCCATGTGTCCTCTTCTCTTCAATCGAATAAGATGGGGGTAACGTAGCACGTTATCCAAATCCAAAAATCCAAAGAATTGTAAATATATTTGATCGATTGATTATGGCCACTAAAATGTTCTCTGCATCTCCGGTAATCTCCGCCTCCGCCGCCACCAAAGCGCCGCTCCTCCCCAAGGCCGTACCATCGCGTCTAGGCGCCTCCTTGGCAGCCGCAGTCGCCGCGACAACCGTCCTGACAATGGCTCCGGCGCTGCCTTCGGCTGGCGAGGGGAACCAAACGTACAGAATATACTACGGGACGGCAGCGAGCGCGGCGAACTACGGGGGATACGGAGGGAACTCGGACAGGAAGACGTCGGCGGAGTACGTGTACGATGTGCCGGAAGGGTGGAAGGAGAGGCTGGTGTCGAAGGTGGAGAAGGGCACAAACGGAACAGACAGCGAATTCTACAATCCGAAGAAGAGGACGGAGAAGGAGTACCTGACATTCCTGTCTGGGTTCAGACAGCTGGCGCCGAGGGATGTGATTCTGAACAACCTCGCCCTGTCGGACGTGAGCTGCAGGATCTGATCGCAGGCGCAGACAAAGTGTGTCGGAAGAGAAGAAGGACGAGGAGACAGGGCAGGTTTACTATCTGTACGAGATCGAAGGAGTCGGGAAGCACAGTCTCATCACAGTCACTTGCGCTAAGAACAAGCTCTACGCCCATTTCGTAAATGCCCCTGCGCTCGAGTGGAACCGCGACCACGATACATTAGCCCACCTTCGCGACTCCTTCAAGACCGTCTAGTTTCACTCGATCCATCCATCTCCTCCAAACATTTATTTGTCCCTATATATTTTGCTTTTATCATATGATCTATCATCCTTTGTATCTTCTTGGGGTTTGTGATCCTTCCTTATCATCAAAAAATCTTTTTGGATGTTAAAAGGGACAGTCAAAATAACAAGGTAGATAATTTTGTTCTCTTAATTACTCTAATTAAAGCAGCCAGCAAGCAAGCAAGCAAATGCCTTGAACACAGAGAAACCAAAAAATGTGGTTTTTATTTTTATATTTGTTTGTCTGCAACTTTGCCGGCATCCACACGTTAAAAAGTGTCTTTTTTTTTTTTTATGTTGTTATTACTAGTCATTGGAGTTTCAATTTCCCTACCTACATAGAACAACAGACTAGACAAGACAGAGTCCACAAGCAAGGACATTGTTACTATTCCCACGCCCAAGAGTTTCTCCATCCATCCTTTGTCTTCTTTCAAGTCACCTTTTGTTATTAATTATATCCCCACACACACTTTGTTTAATACTACATAGCTAGCACTCTAAAACCCTAAGCAAATGTTACATCTATCTATCTTTAATATAAACAGTATGTATATAAAGAAATACAAAGAGGGAGAAGAATGGAGCTGGTTTCCTTTTGTGGGAAAACAGACAAGCAAGTTGTGGTTTGATAATCTCAAGGAATGAAAGCTGTACTTTGGTTTAAATAAAGAAATGCATAAAAATAAACAATAAAAGAACAAATCATCATTTTCCCTCATCATTTTAATAAAGACGAGAAAGAAAAAAAAAAAAAAAGAAGCAAATCTTTGTCTCTGGGTCTGAGGGGACAGGTGTAGGGTTGAGATCAAATCTGTGGAAGGGTGCGTCTCCCCACACTGAACCACATATCTTTTTGCCGGCTTCTTCAACGGCTTTTTCTCTTCCCCTTCCTTCGACGTCGTTTTGTCTCCACCTTCTTTTTCCCCTCTCTCTCTCTCTGTCACCCTCTCTGCTCTTCCGTCTCTCGTCTACAGTGCCCTCCGCTTCACCTTTTTTCGCTGTCCTATGAATTTGGTCGAAATGCCCATCCTCCCCTAAATAAAGCAAGTACCTTTCCCTCTCTCCTCTCACTCTTTTCAATTTCAATTTCTCCTCTCTCTCTCTCTCTCCCTCTCTCTCTCGCTCTCTCTCTCTTTATTTTTTTTTTACTTTTGTTGCCTGAGACTCTCCCTTATCGTCTCCAATTGCCACTCGCCGCTACAACCCTCATCGGATGTATGACTTTCCCCTCACCCCCTCCTCGTGTTCTAATGTCTTTTTGCGTGATGCTCTTTTTGTACGCTTAGTCTCTTTGTTTACACACCTGACCCTACTCCCCCGACTTCTACTGATTTCTGGGTTTGTCTTTGTTTCTCTGTGCGAAGCCTTTAAGAATCTAGAGAGATAACATTTGTTCATTTTCCTCTGGGCCTTGCGTAGCGTAGTTGCTAGGGTCATTCGTATTTTGTATAGTATTTCAATCTGCCTTTTATCTACTCTTCCTCACCCTGTTACTCTTTCTGTTGTTTCCTCTTGTGTTTTGTTTCAGACTTAAGCCCTCCTTTGAACACATCTCACAGTCATCTCCTTCGTACCCGATAGTACAGTTGCTGAAATGAATGGAGATAGACCAATGGAAGATCCTCATTACACGGAGACGGGATTCCCTTATGCTGCTACCGCTAGTTACATCGATTTTTATGGTGGTGCGGCTCAGGAGCCCCTAAACTATGCTCATACCGGAACAATGCATCCTCAGGTACTTGTGTTTTCTTCCCTGTCCGGCGGCCTGGCCTATATCGCCGTTAACAGATTCTAAAATATGTTTAGTGTCTCATCTGTTGTTAGACGAGCTTATAATTTGTGTATCCTCCCTCGTTCATAACTTTACTTGTTTGCCTATTCTCAGGACAATATGTACTGGACCATGAATACAAATGCATACAAGTTTGGATTTTCAGGATCAGATAATGCTTCCTTCTATGGTTCTTATGACATGAATGATCATTTATCGCGGATGTCAATCGGGAGAACGAATTGGGAGGAGTACCATCCCATGGTAAACGTTGATGAGCCTGAAATCACAGTTGCACGGTCTGTCCGGATCGGGGACACGGATGAGCACTCTGAGGCTGAAGAATGTTAGTTATTCTTTTATGTGTCCCTTGCTCATATTCATGTCGCTTTCTTTCTTTGTCTAAGCTATAGAAAATATATGTTTGTATTTTACAGGCATTGCAAATGAGCATGATCCCGAGAGTCCTCAGGTATGTGCACGTGATCTAAAAGGGTTTATGAATCTGTGTCAACTAGTTAACTCTTGCTCATTTTTGTGAAGCTAGTGGTGTATCCGTGCAGGATGTGATCTAAAACACTGATATAAATTCTCAATGCTCGTTAATGCCATGTTGCCACAGGTATCCTGGCAAGATGACATTGATCCCGATACAATGACCTATGAGGTTTGTTCCAGTTTTTCCTTTCTTTTTTTTTTACTGTTGGGTTTGTTGTTTTTTATGTGTATGTATATTTGAAGGAGATGGTCAATAGAGACAGTCAGTGGACAACATAAAAAGCTGTTTGGTTTGTGGATCAGGAATTAGTAGAGCTGGGAGAAGCGGTAGGAACGGAAACCCGGGGGCTGTCTCAGGAACTCATAGAAACGCTTCCCACTAGAAAATATAAGTTTGGGAGCATCTTCTCCAGGAAAAGAGCAGGGGAAAGGTAAAGAGCGACCTACCTTATAAGATAATGAATTCACGACACAGGATTAGTTTACTGAAAAACCTGCGTGGGATGATGATGAGCAGGTGTGTGATATGCCAGCTCAAGTACAAGATAGGGGAGAGGCAAATGAATCTGCCGTGCAAGCACGTTTATCATTCCGAATGCATTTCTAAATGGCTAAGCATCAACAAGGTAATTCATTTTTCTTTCTTCTTACAGGTTATTATTATTGTTTACATCTGAAACTCACTCGTTGCATATTGAACGCAGGTTTGCCCGGTGTGCAACAGCGAGGTCTTTGGGGAGCCCAGCATCATCCATTGATTGGCAATAGGAATTTCCTCCTCTTTTTGGCTCTTTATATTGAGGCCCTCATCAAGTTAATTAATTGTTTTAGTGTAGTGAAAACTAAAAAACACAAATATATATATATATATATATAGCCTATAAGAAGATGTCCACACTACACTCACTCTCTCTCTCATGTTCAGTCCTTCTCTGTACATGTAATTTTTCTTCTAGTTCCATTTTCTCTCGTCTGTGCTTTAGCACTCACTCGTATTGTATACTAAAGTTTCTACTTCAACTCTCTCTCACTACTACTCTACTTTAGGCTTTCAAATACTACAAGATTCTTGAGGTGTGGGTACTGAAGTTGACTGAACTTAAAGAATGTAAAGAACAACGGAGAAAGCCACCAATCTCCTCGATTCGAAAGAGTGCATTGTAAAGGCCAAGGAAGATTGTTGGCTATTGGAAGGTTGAAATATATATAATTTTCTGTAAAGAGAAACGAGGCATTTAGTATGAATACATGATGCCATAGTCTGTGTGATAGTAGTATCCGTATCATCCAACTTCCCGGTTTTGCCTCAGCTTCCACAGCTCCGGAATAGTATATATATACAAGTACAGCTTGGCTTATATACGAGTTTGTTCCTGGAGTTGTTCCTGCCAAGACCAGACCCACTAGTGGTTAGAGATGCATCGCTTGTAAAGAGGATATATATATATATGTATATGGGTTTAGGATTTACAACCTCTGTAACAAACAACGCATGGAAGCCATATGGGACCCTATGAGGCAGCTCCACCACTGCCACTGGCTCAGCCGACATTGTTTTTGCGTCGATCACATTCACACATGATTTCCTGCCCATTTTCAATCAACATATTATTGTACCAGAAAGACAAAAGAAACAAGTAATAACTGATGCAGAACTAGCACGAGAGCAATAACTACCCTGTGTTTTCATCATGAACAAAGAATATCAAGTAGCCATCATCTTCTTCCGCTGCCTCACGCGGGACATATATAGCCTCTGAACCATATCTCCCTTGTCCCAGCTCATAGATTCCTTTGATATTACCTCCTACTTCCAGCATTTTCTTGCCTGTCTCAGCCTCCGCATGCAGATCAAACTTGATAATTCCTGTAACCTTTGCGATACTGTCCAAAATTGTTCCATACACATATCTCTGTTTCCTAAACGCACCAAATAAAACAAAGAAAACATTGGGCATGATGAGGTTTCCTTGCTATGGATACAATGAATATCAACACGCAAGGACAAGGATGAACTCATACTTTCCAGTGTAGCGCTCGTTGATTCTGGGGAAATCAACTGCAGATGCCGATAGTTTTCTCTGAGAAGCTGAGCCCGTTTTCATGTTAAATCTCATTTCGTACCTGCACAAGCTATAGCTGAGGAGGGTATCTGGTTTACGAAAGAGCAGAACAGATGTAACAGATGAGGGGTTCTTACAGTTCGTTGCTAAAATTTTCAAGTTTTTCTTTCACATTCCCGCTGACCATGTCAAGATCTGGATTCTCAAGGCGACAAGTGATGAGGACGACTTCATCCTCTTCTTCCCAAGCATTGGCTGGATATAGGGAGCCATTCAAAAAAGTTTGATACATAGAATACAAAATTTGACGATGTGAACCCTTAAACAGATATAGCAAAGCACACACCGTTGTGGAATATAAAGCAGTTGGGAAGCTCAAACCATCTAATCATGAGTTCATCCTTGGCATAGCGTGGAAGAACACCAAAACGAGCCTTCTTTGTGGGATCAAACGAGTATATCATTTTCTTCTCTTTCACCATTTCCTTGGAATCAATTTCAAAGATACATAAGTGTATAGGGGAGGCAGATTCTATGATTTTCAAAGGAGATATAAAACAAGCATCCTTATTTGCTTTTTATAATCATCTTTTCTTAACCATTTCAACAAAAGTGTATGTGAAGCAAAAAAAGTATTGGGTAACCTTTAAACCTACATACCTTTGGCCTGAAGTGCATAGGAAGATCCATGAAGATTGCATAACTCTCAGTAATAGCAAAATCGTGCATCATGATTGGCTCTGATATAGTGATTGGGACTGGGTCAAGCATAATGCCATCTTCCGAGATCACCCTGTATGTGAGATAAGGAGGCGTATGCGAATAGCCAAATGTAAACATTTCACCTGCAGAGAGAGCCCATGATGGGTCAGCAGCAGAAATAGTAGCTTGTTTCTAAGGAAAAATTGAAGACTTACCCGTAGCCGGGTCAACTTTTGGGTGTGCAGTGAAGGAGTGGGTCAATCTCTTGTCATAATCTATCATGCCAAGAGTTTGCAGGTCCCCATCTTCCAAAACTTTGACGACATCTACAAACCAAAAAGAGTGGCTTTGACTTTTTAAGAAAGAAAAGCATAAATCTTCCAACCTCGCTTGGGTTTCTAAATAGATCTTATTAAAATACAGAGTCTGCGTTCACTTTAGACCATAAGAAAAACGAAGAGGTAGTAGAGGCTTACACGGCTTATCTGCCTCCTGTAATGCTAGAAGTTTTCCATGGTGATATACGAGCGCTGTATTAGCTGGTGCATGGAAAAAGAGAGTGAGATTTGTTAAGATACTAGCTAGGTAGAAGGGATGAAGTAACCAACCAGTTCCATATCCATAAGAGTCGTCCAATACTTTGAGTTTAGTTCTAAGCTGTTGCATATTGACCATAAGCAATCCGAAAAACCCCTTAAGGTCCCCAATCTGCAAAGTTTACAACAACAAAATTATAAAAATAAACAAATGAATTCCGCATGCAATTGCAGAAGACATATTTTTTTTGTACTAGCTCACCTTCATGAATTTGGCAGCTCCGAAAAACTCTTCCTGCTTGAGACGTGATGTCTTAACATATCGAGAAACATAAGTTGCTTTCCCATCTTTGATGCGAACCCCATGTATCATACTGCAGTATTACTATTGCAAAGCTATATGAGAAATGACGCAAGGAAGAGAGTAGAGATTGATGAAAATAAGAAGGATAAACATGAGATATCTTAGGGAGACAAGAAGGCGAAACGTCAGGGGAAAATTCACGTACCCATCTCCATCAAACCTGAAAAGAGCAGAGAGATATAAATAGAGAGAGAGAGAGAGAGAGAGTATCAGAAGGAAGCCACCGATATATACCATGACGATCGTGTAGAAAATAAAAATAAAAAAGGGAGAAGAGAACGTGCCAGTGATATCCAGCGACGGGATCAAACTTGGGATTTGGACCAACCCTCACAAATTCACCATTCAAGCATTCCTAGAAATCAACAAAAAGACGATCAAAACCCCAAACCCAACCCCGGGAGATTAAGAAAGTAAAAGTGGAGCTCACTCACGGGAAGAAATCCATGGACGACGGGGAGATCTTTGACGGGAGGAGTCTCATCCTTGAGGGGAGCGAAGTTTCCGGAGAGGTAGTGGAGAGGGAGAGAAGCATCGTGCATGAGCTTGACAACAACTCTCTCCAGAAGATCGAGAAGCTTAGAGGAGAAACCCTTGGAGGGTTTAGGATTGAGGGAGACTATGCCATCACCGAGCTTTTCCGCCATGAAAAAAATTGGATTGATGAGCAGAATTAAGAAGCTCAGTGATTGATGCAAAATGTTGATGATGATGATGATGATATGAGTAGGCCTGCGTCCTTGGGTGAAACGCTGCCACGTCGCAACGTTACGGCCTTAGCTTCTCCGTTATCTTTAACGAACGGAATTTACTACCTACCGTATATTCTTCATTTTATCGAACGGCAACTTGTGTTAGTGATTTTTTAAGCAAACTTTATTTAGTCTGTCTTAAATTCTGTGGAAGATGAAAACAGTATCTTTAGATTGCTTTGGCAAAGTATGTTACTCTGTGTGGATATTTTTTTTTTAAGATTTATTCAAATCAGACTAAATTCACACTATAAACATTGATTATTTTATATAGAGCGATATCTATCTGCGTTAATACAAGCGAACATCTTGGTTATCCTATATATATAAAGTCATTGCTTGGCAGACTGTGATTCCTGATGAAACTTGTGCAAACTTTTTAGTTACGAACAGCCACAACCCAAGCAAGAGAGAAGGGAAGCTCTAGTGATGACACGGGGCTTGGCTGAGATCGGTGTGCTCAGATAAACCGCACCATCAGCTTATTAAAATGTCAGCAAGCGTAGTTGGTGCGTTCCACAGAGAGAGAGACAAGGTGAAATGTGTGGCGTGGAGACGGGTGTGAAAAAAGGGATCTTCAAAGGAGATCGTGAGAATGAAGCAAGAAGAGAAGCAGATGGGCTGAAACGAATAGCAGTAGCAAAGAAGGAGAGGATAGGAAAGAGAAAAAAAAAAGAAAAAAAGAGGAGAATGGGGAAGCCGAATGTGGAGGGCTTCTCACCAAAATGGAAACGACGAAGCAAAGTCGCTGGCCTAGTAGTAATTATATGTATGTAATGTACACACCCTCCTCTTTCTCCTCTAATGTAATCCAAAAATAGGAACTTTAAGGTCTTTTCTTTTAGAGAGCAACAATAGTTTTGTGTCCGAAGCAAAAACCTGTACAGCTCTTGCCAAAATTAACAGTAATAATCAAATATATATCACGACAACAAGCAAATGGCCATCATAGTGATACAACCGGTGAGGTGCAAAAGATAACTAAACAGACTAGACTCTATTGGTGTTACTCCTCTCGCCTACACTCCCAAAAACACCATTCTTCAAGCTCTCTCATTGCCTATTTCCCAAAAGGACCTCATTTACTTACAAATGTGGTTGTTGCTTAGTTCGCAGCTGAAGGCTTGAAGTCTACCATCTCCCTTATGTTCAACTTTATGGATGGCCCCATTGACGAGCATATGTGCGCGCTTTTCCAGTACACTCCTTTTGCTCCCTTTGGCTTGTTTGTCTCCACCGATTTCTGCATTCATCATATTACTTTCCCCTCATTCCATTTTTTTTTTCTTTTTTTGTATTTTAAACAGCAGAAATACGCAGTATTAATGGAGAATCAGCCTACCACTGCTGCAAGGAAGTTTATGAGCAGGTCTTCCTCTGTAAAATTAACTTTCCCAAATGGAATGTGAACAATCCCAGTTTTGTCCGCTCTGAATTCCACTTTCCCTTTCTTGAACTCTTCTATAGCCTGAGAGATGTATGCATCTTTAAACCATGATCACCCGAATTAGGAGATGTTGCAGAGTGAGTAGGCTTACCTGAGGGATGTTAGCTGTGACGGTACCAGCCTTAGGATTTGGCATGAGTCCTCGTGGGCCAAGAATCTTTCCCAGGCCAGCAACCTAGCACCGCCAAGTTGAAGAATGTTAGGAATAATAATAGTAGAAGACGAGTTACAACTATGATTCCCATGCCACATTCTTTGCCCAGAATGACGTTATCGTAACAGCTACAACTTTATTCCATCAAACAGGCCAAATGAGTTGAGGAAACACACACACCTTGACCATCATATCTGGGGATGCAATTAACTTGTCAAACTCCATGAACCCTCCTTTTATCTGTTCGATCAAATCATCACTGCCCACAATATCTGCCCCTGCGTTTTTTGCTTCATCGACCTTCTCACCTGGATGTTCATCATGGACACGGTGCAAGCCAGAGAATAAGAGAAAGAGTAAACCACACCTTTTCAATATAATGCATGTTGCTAAATCAACGAAAAGAAGTGAAACAGGAAAGAAAGGAGAAGATAGATCCCATTACATTTCCTGTTGGAATACACAAGAACTCCATCCAATCTAAACATACAAGGTCAATCACACCAATTTTCATCTAAAGAAGCCCTGACACTGAAATAGTAGCATAATAATCCCTTGAAAACCACTAACTTAGCATTTTGGGTGAGGCAATTACCTTGAGCAAGAACAGCCACTATAACAGTCTGCCCTGTTCCCTTAGGGAGGCTCACCTGTACCAAACAGAAAAGAAATGAAAAAAAAAAAAGTTAATATCCATGAAGCACAAGTTATATATCGAGCAAAACCAAAACTGACCGTTGCTCGCAGCTGCTGGTCATTGTATTTTGGATCGATGTTGAGACGGAAATGGGCTTCTACCGACTCCACAAACCTTGTGTTTGCAGTTTGCTTAAGCAAAGATATAGCAGTCTTGACGTCATACTCCCTTTTGGTTTCCCTTAGCTTTTGGATTTCCAAAAACCTCTTCGACCTTGTCTGCCAAATTCCAAGCAAACAACTGAGACATGCCCTCAAGTAAAGGACGAGAAACAAGCAAGAGAGAATCATCAATTGCTCAGAGCTATCTCTACTTTAAGAACAGCAAAATCAAGTAGAATAAACCTGTTTTCGGTTCAACAATGTCAAAATTTAGAGCAACAGCGACCGTAAAGGATGGGTACTGTATAGATAGCAAAACATACTCTATCTCTCTTCAGAAGCAAAGCGGCTTTTCCTTTCTTGGGCTTGGGTGGATCAAGGACGGCAGTGGCGGTGGCGGTGGCGGTGGATTCCCCAACTTCATTCAGCTCCGCGTCATCAGTGTCGACGTCCGCCTCTGCGGCGACGGCGGAGACAGCTACCGGGAAAGTTCGGTTGGAACCTCTGTCAATAGCAGCACATCTTCTTCCCCCAAGGAGAAGAAGCGGGGGATAGAGAGCGACGCTCAAGTTGTTGGGTCTGGGGTTGGCAAAGGAGAGAAGCGATGGAAGGTTAAGATCCTGGGAACGAGTGGATACGGCGTATGCTAACATGAGAGAGGAGTGAGTGGCGCAGGCAGCCATTGTTGGAGCTCTGAGCAGAGCAGACGCAGTTTGTTTTGTGTAGAGAGAAGAGAAGAAGAAGGGACTGACTCTACACTCTCCCTAATCCACAAAGGGGGATCGGATAACAATCTCTCTCGCTCTCTCTCTTAGCTATTATATTCTGCGTGATGGTATACCATTGCTACGGTGTTATCCACACCTGTTTCATTCTGGACCATTCGATTGATGCGATTGCGATTGCGATTGAATTTTTTTTTTTTTTCTTTTTTGTATACATCCCGAGTCGCGCGATCGTTCGTGACCTATCTTCCTCCTCTTTTCCCAAATCTGATTTCCCGCCAGTCGAAGAAACCTTCTCCATTTCATCTGAGGTAGGTTGATAAAAATTCCTCTCCATTCTCTTCCTATTTTCCGTTTTTTCTTCAGTTTTCATGTACCACTATTCCACACTCAGTATTTCTCGGAAACCAACGACAGATCACTCCGCAATTTGTTTCATCTTTGTGTTAATGGCCAGGCTGATTTTAGGTATTTCACAGTAGATTGATCTCGTAGCGTTACGGAGAGATGTCAAGAGTAACAGTGTGTGCGCGGTTTAGGCCACTAAGCTCAAAAGAGATTCGAGATCACAGGGATGGTAGTGGTGTCTGCGTTCGAGGCATCGACGCCGAAAACTTCGTTTTCCAAGTTTGTACTCGCCACGGTTCATCGTATTATATCTACTATGAGTATGGTAAAACCCTGCTCGACATTTGATTCTCGTCTCCTTATTGTGTCAAATTTTCTGCGTGTAGGATGACAAGGAAGATGAGTTTACATTCAGCCTAGATAGAGTTTTTTATGAGGACTCTGCCCAAGCTGCGGTTTATGAGTTTCTGGCTCTGCCAATCATGAGAGGTACTGTGCTTATGAACGATTAATACATTCTCTTAAGATGATGATCTATGTGCACCACTGCTGCTTGCTGAAAAAATCTGCCTGACACCAAATGTAATTTGAAGATGTAAAAAAGAGAGGATTGAGCTTCTTGTTGTTCCCGGCCTTGTATCTTACATCTCATCTTTCTAGTTTATGTCTACTTTCAGACGCTGTGAACGCTATAAATGGAACAATCATCACTTATGGTCAGGTTTGTTCGGGTCAACTCTTGTTTGAATGCATCCCTGAATATTCTTTCATTCTCGTTTTTATTAAGCTGTTTATAAGTTTTGGCAGATTTAGATTTCAATTTGATCGTTTAATTTTTATACTTGGCAGACAGGGGCTGGGAAGACATATTCCATGGAGGTCACCTAAAATATCTTGATATATATATACTGTTGATCTGTCCCTGTAGCACTATGACCTTGCCTTCTAAACAAAATTGGTTTTCTTCTATTGATCAGGGACCAGGCATCCAGGACTCTGATGAGCACAAAAAAGGATTACTTCCAAGAGTGGTTGATGGAATGTTTGAGCAAATCAGGTCGTCCAAAGATATGGCAAGATACACGGTTAAATTGTCTATGGTAGTGATCGTTATGCGCTTCTTTACACAAGTTTTCAACTCTCCTAACAAGCTCCCTGTATAAATAACTCAAGTACATTTGTCTCCTGCAGGTCGAGATCTACATGGAGAGAGTCAGGTAATGTGTATGCCTATAGTATTTTTTTTTTTTTCATCTAGGGTATAGCTGAGTAATAAATGAATATATGTCTCTGATTCTCTCAGGGACCTGTTGGATTTATCAAAAGGAAACATACAGATCAAAGAGAACAAAAATCAAGGAATACAGTTGTCAGGCGTTACAGAGGTTAGCATCGTAGTCTAGTGTCATCTGTAAGTGTTGCGAAAATATGTTACAGGGTAGGTAAGTTCTAATCATTCGTTGCTTCAGGTGCCTGTATCAGATTCGGCCGAGGCATTACAACATCTATGTGTAAGATAGCAGCTACCCTGACTTTCTTGATGTCCTAATACTGCCTTCTTATTTCTGATACTAATTGCCATTTCAGAGTGGTTTAGCTAACCGCGCAGTTGGGGAAACCCGTATCCTCTTAGCGTATTAGCACTTGTTCAGTGTTTCCATTTAAGGAATGGTGAGACTAATAATATGCTAAACCGAGCTAACCGGAAAGCTATAACCGATTGAGATTTGAGAGTCATCGTAAAGACTGTTTTCAGTTTAACAATGAACGACAGAAATGAATATGTCCAGCAGTAGAAGCCACTGCGCTTACTTGTTCACAATCCAGCAGGATTCAGTTAAAGATAAGAGGTAAAACTTTTTCACAATTAGACATACAACTGTGATGCTGTAATAGTGGAACTTATGTAAATATTTCTGCATGCTAATAGGGTAAAAACAGGAAAACTGATTCTTGTCGACCTGGCTGGCTCAGAGAAAGCAGACAAAACTGGAGCAGAAGGTAGGGTTCTTGAAGAGGCGAAGACGATTAATAAATCGCTCTCCGCCTTGGGGAACGTGATAAACGCGCTTACAAGTGGCTCATCTAACAAAGCAAATCACGTACCATATCGTGACTCCAAGCTTACTCGCATCCTACAGGATGCCCTGGTTAGTATCTCTTCTCAAGTCGATTCTATCGTATAATTTTCCAACCTACTTCTCAATTCTATTGTGGTTTCTCATGCCACAGGGTGGGAATTCGCGAATGGCACTGCTGTGCTGTTGCTCACCAAGCACTTCAAATGCATCTGAGACGCTCTCGACCCTCAGGTTTGGCATGAGGTATGGATCTCAGTGTTACACTAGATGGGAACGAAGGAACGTTTCCATGTTCCATGTGTTAGATTACTGAACGTCTTTAAGACTGATGTTTGTTTCCAATTACTGTACAGAGCAAAGCACATAAAAGCATCACCACGTGCCAGCGAAGTAAAATCGGCCAAGACACGGGAGGAACCCTCCTCCGAAACCAAAGATGAGAAACGTGGGAGGATCCTAGAGAAGGTTAAGTTTCTGTGACTGCCATTTCCTCATTCTGTCCAACTATCAGAGAATGGGATCTAGGAGAAACACATGCATTATTGTTGTTGTATACAGATGAAAGAGAGAATGAGCAACGAAGACATCAAAATGCTAGAAGAAGTGTTCATACAGGAAGGGATCATTTTCAGCCTAGATTCTATGGAAGAAGTGGACACAGCATACGAAGATACTGTATCAAAAACTGTAATATCCTTGCACCAAACCGTTGAAAAACTCCAAGTGAAAGTCAAAAAGGTAAACTATTGTGGAGGGGTTTGCAGGGATTCATTACATAATAGTAAATATAGTAATTGGAGAGTGGAGGCGTGGTCAATGATGCAAGCTGACCTGTCGTTTCCTGTTTGCAGTTAGAAGCAAAAAACAAGGGTATTCAGGAACAAGCGTTGCGAAATCACGAATCTGATAGGCTTGGAAGGATGTCAAGGTTCATCAGTTCTTGGTATGCATCATTTTTTACATCCTAAACATGATTTACTACCTTATTGAGTAGAAGACGTGGGCATGGTAGCTGGTAAAAGAGATAAGTTGCTGCTCTTTTGAGGTTGTGACAGATATTAACATTCAAAGTTATGGAACATATAAAGATTGAAGGATAAATTTTTTTTTAAAAAAAAAACTAGTAAAAAGAAGAATTACAATCTCAAATAGAAGAATATTTAGTAACGAGAGGTGTCAGGGAGAGGAGTGTCGTTGAGGAAGTGAATGAAGAGCGAAAGAGAGCGCTTTGGCTGGAAGCTGGGAACTTGATGACCAGCCCCTCTCACGGTGGCAAATGTCAGCTTCCCTTCGTACTCCTCTGTGTATCCTCCCACCTCTCCCCCTAGGTACCAGGGATGCCAAGCCGTTTGGGTGGTTAAATTCATCTTCTTGAGCGAGTACTTGGTGGACGTGACCGGAATTCTCCCGTCCGTATCTCCGCTGAACACCCAGACGCGGACGCCCTGACCCATCAGCTCCTTAATGAGAGGAATCACTGTGGTGGGACTGTCGTTCCACTTCTTTATCACACTGCTGCACGGCTGCCACTCGTAAGGCAGCTTAGTAGCGTTTGCGTGCAGGGCCGCCTGGACCTCCGGCCTGTTCAGGTAGGCCTGCACGTAATGGTCACTGCAGGGGTCGAAGTCCCTTATTGTGGTTCCTCTCTTGGGCCTACGAGTGAGCGTGGAGTTGAGGCACAAGGGAGCGTATATGTTGTAGATGTCCAGGTAATACGTGTCCATGTCGATTTGGTCCGACACCACCGCGCACTCATCTGTCATCACACTCGCAGACTCCGTCTTGAGATCGCAGCTACTCTTGAGTCTGACCAAAGAATCCTTGGAGATGAGCGCGTGACTCTCGAAAAAGTCGTACATGCCCATCAAGTCGGTCTCGTCGTTGATCACCGCATTTCCTATCAGAATGCCCTTGAGATTGAGGAAGCTCGTCGGGTGATGGAGAAGGATAGTATGTGCAAGCTGGGGAACATAGTGCCCTGCGTAGCTCTCACCGGCGATGTACAAGTCCCTGCCTTTGAACTCCGGGAACCTCTCCAGCCACTTGACCAAAAAGATGTAGTTATCGGCCGCCGTGTTCTTGTCCCCATGCTTCTCGTGATCCGACGTTGTGTTGGTGTACGAGAATCCAACTCCCGCCGGCGATTCTAAGAACAGCACGTTCGCAGCATTGTTCCATGCATATCGGTTTCTAAAAAGCGTTTTGCCGTCGCTGTGCACTCTGAACGGCCCAAGCTCTTGTAATGCTCCATACGCCAGTGACGAGCATCCCGGTCCTGTTTATTTCGTTATTTATTTCACCAACACAATATCAAATTTATACATAGTCACACACATATTTCTGTAATCAAAAATCTCGATTTTGTTCATAAGAGCTAATTTAACTGCTGTGCTATATCATCAATTGCCCGGTTGAACGAATAATATATATATATATATATATATTTTTTTATGAAACTATAGATACGTATTACGTAGTGGCTAAATAATTCAGCTGTGCTGTGCAACAAAGCACGCCGAGAATTCCTCGGCATGTGACATTTGAAACCCATCGAAAAAAGGCAACTCAAGTTTTCCAAATTGTCTTTTTTTTTTCTTTTTTCAATTTTTGATTGGCGCAGGCAGTCTACTCTACGGCTTTACATAATAAGATAATATCATATCAGTGTGACTGACAATAATTAGTTTAAAAAACAAAAAACAAAAACAGGCTAAGGCAATTGGCTCTTCTGGTATGGTCCTCACAATGTGAAAATCATTTCACATCTTATTATATAAACACAGAGAAAAAGACAGTCTCGAAAATCGTCGAGATCTCAAACTTAACATTCTTGTTCATTTCTTTTGCTACGTACTTAAATACATACATATTTTAAGTTATAAATGATCGTAAACCGAGATAATAAATTTATAGGATTGAAAAAGAAATATGCAGAAATGTGGTGTTTGTGAAGAAGTTTAATAAAGTTAGAAACGTACCGCCGTTGAGCCAGAGGAGGAGAGGAGAAGAATCGCTAGAGTTGAAGGAGGCTTGCACGAAATAGTAGAAAAAGGAACGCCCCGCGGATTCGTCGACGGTGACATAGCCGCCGTACTGGTCGAAATCAACGGGAGGCTGTCCGGGCAACCTCCGTATCAGATCTCTCTTTCGTAACTCCCTCTGGCTAACAACACTCCCGAGCGAGGACGGTTTCAAATCCTTAACCGCCTTGAAATGGGCTTTGTCCACGAGACCCACCCCTCGCTTCGACATGTAGAGGCGGCTCAGGGCGTGCACTTGGCTGCTGCATTCGATTTGAGGCGACAGATACACTAACAGCAACACAGATGCGACTACGGAACAGGCGTGTCCTTTCCCCATTCTCCGTATGTCTGTATCAGTAGTGAGGAGGAAGAGCAAAGAAAATGTTTTGAAGAAGAGACAGTTTATAGTTTAAATGAAACGGGTGTGTCTCGGTTTGGATCTTAAGACAGGCTTTGTTATTTCGGTCAAAAACTTCCAGTTCCAACTAAACGAATGATTGTTCTTTTTCAATTAGTATTGTTTTTTCTTTTCTTTTAACAACTTCATTCTCCATAACTAACCATGACTAATATATTTTAATTAATCTATGTTTCATGTAATAAAAGGTTGTGATTATTAATTTTCCCTGGAAACTGGGTGAACTATTTTAAATTTCGCGAGTTATAATACATACATGGCCTTGCTTATCGGTCTTCTGGAAAGAATAAAAAAAAAAAGAAAATCTTCATAGCAACTTATAAGTATAAAGAAATGGTCCACAGTATTCTTCTTTGTTTTTGGTTTCTTTTTATATATATAAAAAAAACTACTTATAACAAAACAAAATGCATTACCTTGATAGTAGATGTAGTCAAGTAGAGGTGGTATTTAGGAAATCTTTATTTTAAAAAAAAAAAATAAAAAATGTCAACGTATCGGAGCGATCATGTTATGCCATGTGACTGTGACTCGATTCTACAATCCCAAATTCCTAACGCTCACATTTTATTATTATTTCTTCGTGATATTTTTTCTTAAAATACAATTAACGAAAACACCGTTAATTAATTTACTTTAAGGATTCATCCACTCGGAAAAGAATAAGGCTCAAAAGTAAAGTAATAGTAGTATTTGTTTATCTATTTGAATCCCTCATTATTTTCCAAGTAAAATAAAAAAAAACCATTGATTTGCAGGAGTATAACACCCACATACTACAGACTACAGTAGTGGTCTAAATAACATACATTAGTTAGTCTGAAACTGAAAAATGTAAGAGAACGAGCCGAAGGTTTTCTACTTTTCTTGTACGAGCTCAGTGGCCAGATCCGATGTTTCAGCAAATACCTCTCCAGTTTCAACAATCCATTAGGCCATTGACCTCCATAAAATACAAAAATAAATCATATTCCCGTTGAATTATTTCGCACCGCATCATAGAATAAAAGACTTTTACAAAAAAAAAAAAAACTTTGAGAAAAAAATTTGGGATACCCACCGAAGAGAATTATTAAAACACCCTTCACAGCCCATTGGGGGTTTGCAAATTTATAACCAATATTGTTCAAACAAAATTATGGATGGGCCCATATTAGATGGGCCTCAAAGATTAGGTGACGTGTCATACTTACAATGGCTTTGAGGACCTTAGTGGAGTTTCCCAGATTACCCTAACTCATTTGAGGTAAAAGGACAGTTTCACCCCTCTCTCTAAATGGTAAGAAGATTCAGATGTTTTTTTTTTTTTTGTAATATCTCTCCTAATTTATATATCTTCCTCAAATAATATATTTTCCTAATTTTTATTTCTCGTTACTTTCTGACTATATTTTTACTCTTTGCTTCATTTTTTTTTTTAATTTGTTGTCCTGCCACATGTCACCCTATAATTGGTCATGTGATTTGTGCTTTAGTAATATATTTAGTAATATAAGGATTTATATATCTTCCTCAAATAATAATAATCAATCTAGTAAAATTACGTAACTCCTCCTCCGTCTTCAGATCCCAATTTACAAATACATCTTCACACCCTAATCCCATCCCATCTTCTTCATCCCCGATCGCCGATCCCGTTGATTTCCCTTCTCCACTATCATGGCTTGCATCAAGGGGGTGGGCAGATCCGCCTCCGTCGCCCTGGCTCCCGACGCTCCTTACATGGCCGCCGGAACCATGGCCGGAGCCGTGGATCTGTCCTTTAGTTCTTCCGCCAACCTCGAGATCTTCAAGCTCGACTTTCAGTCTGACGATCGCGACTTGACACTCGTTGGGGAAAGCCCCAGCTCCGAGCGCTTCAATAGACTCGCATGGGGAAGAAATGGATCTGGATCCGAGGAATTCTCCCTCGGTCTTATTGCCGGCGGCCTTGTCGATGGAAATATAGATCTATGGAATCCGCTTTCTTTGATCGGGTGCGTTTTCTCTGTGTTATCTTTACGAATTCCACTCTCTCTCTCTCTCTCTCTCTCTCTCTCTCTCTCTCCCTCCCCGTTTTTTTTTTCCTCAATTGCCATTTGTTGAATTTTCTTTGTTTCTGTGCGACGACCTGCCCACCAAGCTATGGTGTTGAATCCAGTAAAGACATTTGAGTGATCACCGTTTTCTTTTTATTCGCAATAGAAATTATAAAGGCACTTTTTGAAGCGAGACCAACCATTGTCTAGCTTGCTTTTTGGTTTCGAAATTTCATCTGGACAAGTCTAACTCGAACAACTGTCGCATTTCTCAGCTCCCAGTCCAGTGAAAATGCACTCGTTGGACATCTTTCAGTTCACAAAGGGCCCGTGAGTTGTATTTCTCTTCAAAGTTCTCTTTCTTGCTTAGCGCTGTTTTATTTTAACACTCCTCATTTGATGCTGTGTGCGTGCTACATTTCCTTGTATTTCAGGTTCGTGGTCTTGAGTTTAATGCTATCACCCCTAATTTACTTGCTTCTGGGGCTGATGATGGTGAAATTTGCATTTGGGATTTAGCAAAGCCTTCAGTGCCTTCTCATTATCCAATTCTGAAGGTAAACCATTACTTCTTACAAGTCAGCAATCTTTGTTTATCTTTTTTGCACATGCATTACTTTACTGTCGGAAC